GATTTATATATATATATATATATATATATATATATATATCAAGCGGATACATTCTTGGTAAGCAAAGAAGGTTCACGGGAGATTTTCACCTATAATTAAAGCAAGCAAGCAATGCGTAACTGCTACATCCTTACTTAGAATCGTCAGTATTGCGCCTGAGGCGAAACTCAAAGAAGTCTAGAACCCGAGACCTCGTGATACTAGTTTAAACATGTAATCGTAAGCCCTTAAACGACTGACTGATTCTCACTTAGGCGGGATATAGCACTACTCATCCCTAAATCTCGGAAGCTACTGACTGCTTGATCGAGAAAAGACTTTTCAAGAGGAGGTTTCACTTGCCTTGTAATATTCTTCTTCCTCAGATGTAGTTGTGGGCTAAAGGTGGTTTGAAGAATCTTGGGAATTTCAACGGAAGTTCCAATCTGTGTGAAATCAATCCTGTCTAGTTTCCAGTCAGTCGCATTGCTGAGCAGCTGTTATTGCCCAACTAGCCAGGAGGTCACGGGGTCGAGACCCCGTGGGGTTTCGTGATGCACACACTATCGTTGATCCCTATTAAGAATAGGGGCTTTTCCGCTCTTCAGGGTAGATTGGTCTTAATTACAGAAAGAAATCTCTAGTGAAAATCCTGAAATTTTCCCATGTAAATATCATTTAATGTGTTCTATGTGATGCATAGACAGGCTGCAACGAGTGTTTTGTAGAAACGTGTAGTTGTATTGAGTAGTTGTATTTCGAACATTTTCAAAGTCCTGTGTACTCCATGGTGCGCTGAGGGATGCATCAGGTGTAAGCAGTGCGTTTGAGGATGTGAAAATTTTGTGAAGAGTATGAAGGCCCCAGGTGTTCATTGGAGATTTCACATAATAAAATAACTGAGAACCTACATTGCATGATCTCTTCCTCTCTGAAGCTGTTTAACATGAACTAAAGTGAGCTTCTTCGACGCAAACAAAAACTGTGGTAGCACAGGTGGGTGACAGCTTTAACGGCAATGTTGTGGGTGAAAAAAGCTATAGTTGTTAGTCCAGCAATCGATATAGCACACATCTTTGTTCCGTAAGATCGATTAAAACGTTAACCACGAAACATATTTGCAGGATACATCTACATGTCATAAAACGAAAGGTACAAAAAATTGTAGTCTTTGGTGCAATAATTAAGATTCAATCTCGCAAGATTAAAGGTTGTGCGTACACGTTTGTAATTTGAAGCCAGAATTTAATTTCAATTGAATTTTGTCATTAACACCTGAGGTTTAACCTCTAATAACTCACCTTATAACGCAGTATATTTAGTTTAGTATGTAGCTTGTTAGGTTTCCCTGCTCGAGAAAAATTTCCGTTTTAATGCCATAATGCAACAAGACGCACAAGAAACACTATTAGTAGACTTAAGGGACACTTGGGAGACTATTCGCATGTACATTCATGAAGTAATAAGTTAGGGTAAAGTGCCTCTAAGGAATGGATCTCAGCTCAAAACCTTTCTGTTTAAATTTAACAGCAGAACTATAGAAGTCCTAAACCGGCGATGCAAACATTTTGTGCACTAAAATAAGGGCGGATTTGCCTGCTTTCTGATACCAACTTTTAACACGTATCGTAAAACAAAATGAACGTGAAACCAGCTCTGTCGTATTCATCCGCGACAAATAAATGCACTCGGGTAAAATGGGTGCTGGCATGAGTCCAGCTCTAGAGTATACTGCAATATTACAAATGCCAGCGTGGGATTTTATTCACGGTCATTCCAATCTGGGCCGACTAGCTGAAGATAAGTGTTAAAGAGCAACATTTGATTGGCTGAAATTGATAATGACCAAACTTACCTATCTACAGATGAGCGTTTAAGCTTCGAGTAGTACTTATTTCTCAGATCATTCCTAGGTGCCATTTAGCCACGTATATCGTCTTCCGTTTTGGTAACGTCAATGAGTGCTAATGCATGCTTTAATATACGTTTCATTGTTCGACCTAAATGAATCTAGGCCGAAGATAACAGTAGGACCGCAGATCTTTATCACAGCCAGAGTGCATTTACCCCACTCCTAATTACATTGCACGCGTTCCGGCGGGTGATTCGAAGGTCAAGGAATTAGGTTATCCTATAGATTGCTGATGAGATTGAGATGATGCTCAAACGAAAAAATCGTTTCTCTCAACTTTTTTAAGCGTGAAGTGAATTCTGCACTGGGATATGATTTCATTTTAAACAAAACCCCTTGGCCATATATTTATAAAGGTTTCAGCTGACCAGGCGGTTTGTAGAGTTCATTCCTAGAGTAATAAACCCACAAGCATCTAACCACACACACACACATCACAAATATTACTTACTACAGGCGGCCATGAGAAATCAGGTCAAACCTTATGATAGTAAATTTCTTCTCTAAGGCAATGCGGTTGAAGATTCAGAGATACGTTCAAAGAGACCCATAATATAGTTCTTTAGATTTTCCACTCAAAGCAGAATAAAACTCCATGTTTTCATTACCAATCGCACGGATGATCAGAACCTGACCTGGCCTTCTATCACCAGATATGTCTGCCGTCCACATCAACCATTTGTTCCTCATAACTCACTCAAAAGTTGTCTTTCGTTCGTTTGGTTTTATTTTCTAGCATTCATATACCGATTCGTCTGTTGCATGACAAGACTGAGATAAGCGGGTGAATTTGGATCACTCGTAGTACACTGGATTCGTTACTGTCTAATCGGATATATGTGTCCACAGCTCCGTTGCGCTGAAAAAATCACTCACCTTTGTTGTGACCATTCTGCCCACCCAAACTCTTAGTTACAGCAATGGGAACTTTTCCTTCCCATATCAGATTTTGGAAGTAGGGCATTTCTTCCGGGAATTGCGCTGAAACCACCGACATCCACCACATTTTAGCTCAACCGATGATTAGATGAACAAAAATTTGTTTTGCTTGCTACCTATATCCCCGTGGACCCTAAATGTATTCTGCCGTGTTTGCAATGCTTTGATATCTATGTTTGCATAGACAAACTTTGCGATTCAGTAGCAACGACAGTTTTTTGTGCGGTTGAATGTTTCCTTACCAGAAGGGCTGTTTTTTGAATTTTTTAGTACATGCTACAGAGAAATTATTAAATTTTGTACGACGGTTAAAAGAAATTGTCATAACCTTTGGAGCTACTTTCAATTAGGTTATGACAGGTGATTGCAGATAAAAGTTATTTAAGCAATTTTCATAAAACAAAATCCAGACAAGAAATGATGGTTTCAGCTGTGAACTTATGATGTATCCTGTGAACTGGGGTGAGGCAAAACTCCACTTTGACCAGCCGAAATAGTCACTTAGGAGTGTAAACCATTGTTATGCACCAGTTACCAATTAGAACCCCAAATGAGATAGATGGACGAGTTTTTCAGGCGCAATGTCAGTTCACATGTGCTCTGTTTGCCTTGAGAAGGAAGAATCGAAAGGAATGAGGTAATCGCTTTTGTATATGCTACTGAGAACGTTTCGTAGTAAGGCAGTGATACACAATTGTTCGGCCGAAGACTACTCCTCCGGCTTTGTTTCATCATTTACGAGATTTTTCTCTCAAATTCGGATTTCTTTAACTCATTTGCTTGCTGTGCAAGTGACATCCGAAGCTAAAAACCGCCCGGGAAACAAACGACAAACTGAAAGCTCTGGTGTATCAACATTTACGAGTGGTCTATCAAAAAAGCACGAAATATTTGCACACTTAGGGTCCACCTTACTCAAGTATGGGATCCTCCGTCAAAAAGTAGCTTAATCGCTGGCTAGCTTACATTCACTGCTTGGACCAATGCTGGTTCGAACACAGTGGATAAGGCACTCTGGTACCGGACTTCCAGGAGGCGTGGTATCTGGATAATTGCAAAATAATGGGATGACTATTCGGCTACAGCGTTCATGTGTATTTCATGAAACCAAAGTTAAGTTGATCAGTGGCTAAACAATCCTTTGACCCTGTGGGTGCTTCTGCACTGTCCACTCACGTCATCCGCATCGCTCCCATGCACAATATAAACGAACCGGCCTGATTAAGTTCATATTAGCATGAATTTTACTCTATGCGTTTACAAAATGGTTAAATCAGAGAGTGATGTAATGTTCAGATTAAATGAGACATTTATGGAGGCTAATCAGATTTGACATTCATCACAGAAAGGGATCATAAACACGTTTTAATATAAGCATTCTGTAAGGAATTTATACGTGTAATATAATGAGTGCAAAGTTTATCAAATATAGCAAGTTCATTATGCGGTGAGCTCGTAAATTTGCCGTACATATTTGTCCCATCTTTTGTTTCCGTAAAGATAATTTGGTCATGATTATTCAGATATCATTTCCAAGTCGAGTTGACTTTTCCGTGCCCACTGTGATGTTTTGTCGCAAGCAGTAAGCCAAAGAAATACTTAATGATCACAAATGAAGAATATAAAACTATTGGATCATTTATAAAGGAGACCCTGGATGAGTGTAAGAAATTCAGAATTGTATATTCTTACCTGTGATAAAAATTGAAATAAGTACAAAAATGTGGTAGCTGACCGCTACTGTTAACAAAATTGTGTTAATCTGATAAACAAGTTACCAGAATTTAAAAATAGAATGTGGTTCAATGCATGTGAGTGAATAAGATTTATTACCACAAAATGGATCGCCATATCAGAAGAATATGTTGCACAGTTGTAGGTTTCACTGCTGAAGGACCTGAATACTAATTACGATGAATAACACTCACATATTGCTAGACGTATCGTTTGATGGTCAGCAGTTGAAATTCGCCTGCCGGAACGACCAGCTACAGAGAAGAATGGAAGCGGAACGGGAATATAATATTACATTTTCCTCGTATAGTAGGGTTACTGGTGCGAAATTTTATCATAGTCAGTTTGGAATCCTGTATCTGATTTTTTGACCCGGTTCCGATCTCTAATGTGATTGATGGTCCACAACGGGGTAACCTGCTCTGAATGAACTAATTATAAACCACTTAGATTTCGGAAAAGAAGTGTTTTTCACACATATCGGCTGAGAATCACACTTTATTTTAACATGTACGACGAAAATTGCGGTTTCTAATTTTGAGGAACAACAAAAGAAATCATCCTTTACAGTTTTTCATTAGTTGAAAACAAATTTGCAAGTCCGTTCTATCAAAAATTCATAAATGATTGCCAGTCATTTTTCTCCTCTATTTGGTCGTGTGAATGCTCACATAACAAACCTATATTATTCATTTTACAGTCTTCATATCAATGAGGAGAGTAAATTTTTTTATCACAATGATTTTGTACTTAAATTTTACTTATACACATGTATGTTTGTGTGATGGTTTCTTTGTATTGTCTCACTAATTACTGATTATTTTACTTTCAGCAATAACTCATGGACTAAGGAGAAGAACCTTTCCACTGCGGTGACTAACACAGTTTACCTAACCCATACTATCCGTTGATTGATTTTGAATGATCGCTTCACTCTTGTGGATGATACTCGGGTGCACAGATAAAACACCAGGTTTCATTTCATCACTGACCTTTTACGAATCTAAAGGAATAGGAAATTGTAGGTTCATGCGTGCAAAAAATATCCTACAGGTGTAGCCGTTGAAAACCAAGAAACCCCGCTGTTGGCAAACTTCTGGAAAATCCTCAGTACGGGAGGGATACAGTGCTTTGAGACACTCGCTGTGGAGATACTTTATTATAACTGGTTCACGCAATTTTAATGACATGTCTTGCACATGAGCATAAAAACATTTTCTATTTCAAGCAATCTCTACTTAGCGTTTTTCTCCATCATTTCATGCCTACATTTTTTATTTAACGTCCAGTTTATACCCACAAATTTGTGATAAATCATGAAGTTTCACATCCTTGTATAAAAGCCCTCGGAATAAGCTGATTGTTCTTTATCTTAGAGGTATCATTTGTTTGTTCTCCAACTGCGACTTATTTTATAAGCATCTTTATCATTCCCACCTTACTGTTTGGCTTCATGGTGAGTAGACCTGTCAATTTGAAGACGCATATCCTCACAAAACAACCAGGAGCTATCAAACTTTAATGGTATATGGCACAAATTAACATAACATTTCCAGAAAGGTTTGCGTTTTGTGAACCCAACCAAAGCTAACGCAAATAATTAGGATTTCTATTAAAGAATGGAGTATTAAAAGCAGCCTGCCATCTCCGTACGGTGCATGCTAACGCAAGCATCAATGAGTTTTTGTTATTGTTCATATCCATAAAATTTATAATTGTGCTTTTGATGAACAGAGGATGGACGTAGTTCCCTTATTATCTACCTGTAATTTGTACCAGGAGATAAATTCTATTCAGAACGCAGGTACACGCTGCTATAGAATGATAGGCATCAAACTACCGGATTAGAATCTTCATTTCGAGTACCTTTCTGAGTGGCGATCAACATCTTGTTCATAACTCAAAAGCCATTGGAACCTGGCAGAATGAAAAGCGCTTTCAATAAAATAAATTCCGCAAGACGTATAGTGTTTCAGCCTAACAATTTAAGTTTTGCGCTAATGTAAGTCTAAAATTCTGGTTTTTCCTACATAAAATACCTTAAATTAATACTTATTATACTGCATCTTCAGTGAAAGTTCTCGGAATATGGTATACTTGATATTTGAAAATTAGTCGTACACATGCACCTTCGGCACGTGGGAGCATGCGAGATTGTGACAGTCTGTGTCAGCGTCCATTCAAACGATTCAAGCTACACTATATGGATCACAATTGCCAATAGCCTGAATGTAAACCTTTGCGGCATCTTACTCACTAGTTTTAGGCTACGTTGAACACTACATCATGAATTCGGAAAGTTTCCAAATCACAACTCATTCAAAAATAAATCCCTCGACATTACCGAGTTTGTCGACTACGTGTCAGTTGGATACACCCAACTGCCAGGTACATGTATTCGTTTTCAGATCATCAAGTTCGAGTAGTGGCATGCAATCAACATTTGTGTAAGGTATACTAAACCTGCCTTGTTCTCAAACAAACCATCACCATGATCTCCACCCATTGATCAAAAACGCTGAACGTTCAAACATTCGTACTGAAAAACACCAATGAAGTTTGTTTATGAAAAAGGTGTACACACACGGTCGGAACTACTAGTGATGGTTACAAACTACGAAAGTGTATTTACCTCACCCGGTTTTGGAGAAGAATATTCGGTTGTCCAGAATGTGCTGCCATGTATATATTGGTTTAAGCTGCTGCCCTCAGAAAAACTCTGGGATATTCTCCTAATCAATCCATCTTCAAAGTTTTGTGAAAGAGAACTCGCGGCTCATGACCTGCTTTCCCGTCCACGCCATGTTTTACATAATGTTGTGCAGATTAACAATTGGATAATTGCAACTGTCCAGGACTAAGTTCTACCCTGGCTCCCAAAACCAAGCTTTTTGATCCCCATTCGCAGACGGACAACTTGCAGCCCCGCAGACGATGTTTTACAACTTTCTTAAAAAATGCAATACCAGGTGCTTGATCATTTCGAGGGAGAAATCTGCTGTGAACAGGTACATGAACCATGTTTCACCATCGCGTCAAATGCTTTTAAACCATTAAAGCATTTCCTTGTGTAAACATTTATTGTATGGTCCAGTTTGATCCATTTACTCCTTTTTGGAAACTTTCAGCAAAGTAGCACATCGCTGTTTTTCAAATATTCTAGCTAAAATAGGAATAAACTTGGCCTCGGACTGCAAGGAAGTGCAAGGCGCAAGTTGATAGTTGCGCATATGTTGCCTGACTCTATGATTGTTTGTTATCCACAATTAAACACCACGTGAAATTTTACGGCGTCATTTTAGGTGGAAATTTTAAACAAAACATACAAGACCCAAATAGCGAACCATGTAATGCCTTTATGAAAAATGATGAGTTTGCATGAATGACACTCACCTAAAAATGTGTAAAATTAAATGTTATAATGTTCCAGAAGACGGGCTTTTCGAAATGTGCATTTTCTGTAGCCCTTATGGTATTCGAGCCAAACAATTACTATTATTATCATGGTTCTCATTGGAAAACATTTTTTAAGTCTCCAGAATTTACATTCTACCAGGACTCCTGTGTATTCTTTAGGAATTTCGTCATTTTACTTTTATTTCAGCTTTAAAACCACGTCACTGTTGAGTACGCAGTTGCTTACGCCGAACGTCGTTGAACGCTGAATAAACAGGACCGTGAACCATGAAAGAAAAGTGTATTTTGTTCCCCGATATTGACTCCCGGTGAAAATATGTGTATATCTTTTTTCATAAGAAGTGCCTACACAGAAAACATCACCTGTGTCGTTCCTTCTGTTGGTGCCTTCATTTTGTTCTTCCGGGGACTGTCCGGTTAATTAAGCTTGCGGTAAAAATTTCACCTTGACCAATTAACATTACTGGGTACACCGCTGTTGCTATACTCAAAATAATTTCCTAATACACCATGCTATGTGAAACGAGAAAAGAGCTTGGAACCTCTCTATTTCGGTTATTCTCCTTCAGTATTTTGTTTTTGAGGGATGCAATAAATCCTGAGTCTAAGCTTGAAAAGGACTGGTATCTGAATACTTCATGAGGTAGCCTAAGCCACGGTGACACACTAAAGGTAATATAGCCTATCTAGTTTTCAGCAGTCGAAACCTGGCTGAACACCCCGATTAAAACATCCACACAAGGGTCCTAGTTACCCCAGAATGACTGGCTCTCACCAGCATGCTGCACATCATGACTTGATTCAGCTTGAAGAATGCAATCCAATCCAATTTTGGAAAATACTCGTCCTGGAAATCATTTTGCAAAATGACCTGGAGCTATGTGGCTGTATGT